TGCAATAAGGATTCTTTAAAATACAGCCAGCTCTCCTGGACCCCTTTGCCCTTCATGTTATTCTCCCAGGGGATCCTGCCCATCTGTTCCCTGAGTGAGTCAAAGTCTGCTTTTCTGAAGTCCAGGGTCCGTATTCTGCTGTTATTTATAGGGGTATCATAAAAGACAGACCAATTTATCAATCAGTGTCAAAAGCATTAACATGTTCATCTGACTCTGAGATTAATTTTTATACAATGGGACTTAGAATATTTTCTGAGTGAACATTAAACTATCGATGACTCTCAGCGGTAAAGAATGGTTCTGACATACACTCTGCTTAATGTAGTATATTATTTACAACGAGAAATCCATCCCATGCACACAATTTAAGCCTCACTTTAGTTCTACACAGGGAAAAGGGGCAGACTGAGTGGCTGGCCAGGAGGCATCTCCACACCCAACTGTAAGCTAGTGGGGCAGATACACTGAGTCACTGATGTTGGGACTGGGTTTCCAAGGATCCAGAAACCGTGTTCCAGGGGTTGCATGTAGGGGCTATGGCCACTACACTACCCCATTGGCTGGAACAGGAGTCACAGTGCAACAGTGGTGCAGCCTGCCCACCTGTTGTGGGAGTGAAACCCACCTCCACCTACTACCCGAGATTCCCCTAGACAGAGACCAATCACTAATGACAATGGGTTAGATAGTGGCCCAGCTTGCACAGCCACTCAATGGGGCATCTGGTGCTTCCTTGTGCCAGCTGCCCAGACTGAGTATTAGTGCAGGGAGGAGAACAGCCTCCATTGGCTGTGACAGCGCCACCCCCATCTCTTGCGCAGTGCAACAGGGGCAATACAATACCCGCTGGCTAGCAGAGCTACACAGTGCACTGGGGAAGTACCCTGTACCAGGTACTTCCTCCACAGAGCAGAGGGAATCCAGGAGGACGCTTAGAGTCACAATATGCTTCCTTGGCTGCTTCTGGAGCAATGCAGCAACACATTCCCTTTGCTCAAGTCTTGTCGGAAACCATGATTGAGCACAGGGACCGCAGATGAGGATTTTGCCCACAGCGCATGTAGATGTATGGTACGCTCTGGACAGAGTATTATCAATAGGCCATTTAAATAAAATACTAAACTGTTCCAGGGCAAAAGGCACAGCTGTGTGAGCAGCAGGCACATCTGCAAAGATTCACCCTTGTTGTGGGGACCACTCAGATAAGTCTCTTCAATAAAATGTTGTCATTCAACTCTTTTGAAACGGCATATTTGTTATTGAGAATTAAAGCTATATAATGCCCTCCTATGCATTTATTTGCTTGGCTGTCTGAAAATGCCATTTTCAGGTTAATATTTACTTTTGCTTTTGCCAAAGTCATTTTGTCTTTGCAATTTAGTTGGCAAATAGTGGAGCTTTCAGCTTCTCTGAGCCAAATTGCTCTCTTCCCACAAGGACCTCCACCTGCCCGCAGCGAAGTTGGTTACCTCTGCTACACAATTCACCTTCCTAGGACCCTGCAATGGGATCTCTGGAGGTTCTGTGATCAACATCGGGGAAGAGGGCAGGCCAGGGCTGGGTTTGGAGGGAGGCTAATTATTCCTGCCACAATTTTGTGAGGAACAGTCAGGACAATTAATACAGCCTGAGGTTGTATTTACTTTTCTGTGGAGCTCCTCTGTTTGATAGAGCCACCCAGGATGAGTCCAGGAACATCTGTAGGGTGAGCTGTCAATGGCCATATGGCTCCAATGGACTGTGGTGTTAGAGAGCTGGGGAGGGAGGGGCGGGGAGGGAGCAGAGTGTCCTAGGTGTGGTCCAGTGGCCTGTGACTTTTGGAGATTCCTGAGAACCCCGGGCTTTCAGGGCTGACCCCCTGCTGTTTTTGCAAGGTTGGAAACCCAGCCTCCAGTGGAAGAATGCAGCGTCCGCTGGCACTTTTCTGTGAATTGCCTTGCTAGAGCACCCGAGCTGGGCCTTTGTCTGAGATGGATAGAAGGGACTTTCTTTAGGGAGGATAAAGAAAGAGCTAGCAAAGAGATATTCTTCTAATCATTGTCACTGGCTCCCTTTCCCTGTTGACTGCAGTGTGACTCCCACATTGAGTTTTTGCAGCTCTCTGAGCTCCCCCTAGTGTTACTTAGGGCTGCTTGGCATGTCTGTGGAATTGAATTGACGAGGGTTTGAAAGAGCTTGTGTTTTGGCTCACAGTATGTGACCGCACAATATTAAACTGTATCAGCACAGTCAGTGTATGACACACACACACACACCGTAATGGGCACAGATCCAGCAAGTCTCCAGAAACCCCATGCACTTACCTGAACCCAACTCTGAAAATCCTATGAGAACAGTGACTCTCGCAGTCTGTCACATTAAGCATTTCTGCTTCCAGAACAGATGATTCCTCAAAGGGCAGAAAGGAGAGGAAATATAACAAAGGACCAAATCTTTCCTCCCTGTCAGAAGCCCAGGTAGCTGGGCTTGGCACGGCGGGGTCCTGCGAAGGTGGAGCGGGAAAGAAATCCTCCTCTGGGCACAGACCAACGGCCCAGTCACTCCATGGCTGCTACTGTAACTCCGGATGTGTAGTAGCCTCCACTCTTACTGTTTCCACATTATGCAGCCTGGAATAGGCTTTGGAGCTGCATAGTGGGGCATCCTCTCTCTCCACTTTTCCCCAGCCCACTGCTGCAGCACCCCTGAAACCTGCTGCACAGGGAAGTAGCCGAACTGCCACAAACCTGGGCTCCCTAATACATGGGGGATGTGGTCCACTTGTGTAGATTGCTTATATACTCTGCCCTCCTGTATTTCTGCTGTGTCTGAGGCCCTACATTTCTTCTATGAATGGGACAGGATTTGCATCCAAAATGGACTGAGCATGGGTCTGTTTTTCTTTTTTGGTTCTTAACTGGTGCGCTTGTCTCATTCTGATCTTTTTCCTTTTGGGAAATAATGGGATATGTCTAGCACTAGACAACAAGGGCCAGAAAATGACTGGGAAGTGGGAACAGACTCCATTGCTATTGCTTTGTTACTGAAGGAAGTACAGGCCCATACAAATAAAGAAGTGAAAAAGGAAGAGGGATTTTTAAAATTCATACTGGTTCCCTGAGATCACAAGCAGCAGTGTTTGTTTCCCTCATCAAAATTCAGCACAGGCTGTCAGCCAGGAGACAAAAGTACAAAACCTCACTTCTCTCTTTCTCTGGCAGATTAAATGACTTTTGGATAATATACGAATTTGAGATGATAGAGATCAGTGTCTTAGGGAGTGATTTGCAAAACTGCTCGTAAAGTTAGCTCATATAAAACAGAGCATGTCAGTACATTGATCAAGTTTATTGACTCATTTCTGAAGTACAACTCCCGGCCTCCAAACTCTCAGTAATCAGAATAAAACCAAAAGAGCTGAAACCTCCAATTTAGACACAGAATAATCTTTGTTCTCTCAAAGTAAGAACATATCAGCAGTAGATTATTTTCTTTCTTGTGTTTAAATCTTTGTTGCATTTCTCCCATAGGAAGAAGAGGATCTGCGAGCTCTATGCAAAGGTTTTGGGATCAGAGGAAGCCTTACACGTAAGAACATAACTTACAACATAGCACATCCTGCTGATCTCATTATTGTAGTTGGGAGGCACAGGGTGAAGTTGGACAGTAGCAGTAAAATCAGTGTTCTTGGCACTGTGTCCCATGTTTAATCAGGATTAGTGTTCTTCACCACGCTTATTAGTTTGTACAGAAGAGTGATGAAAAATACTGAAAAGCTTTACATCCCATTTGAGAGTGATTAACATGTTTGTGTGAAGCAGTTAAAAATACAGGAGCTCATTTTAAAATGAGCCACTAAAGCCTCAGTGCGGAGTGTTACCTTCATTATTATTATACGCTAAATCTCAGCCATTTTCAGCTGCTGTGCCATGGCTTGCCTCTCCATCCAGCCCCTGCCCGGCACAGTGTTCCGTTTTGTCTCATACAGGGCCAGCTCTGGCTTTTTGGCCGCCCCAAGCAAAAAACAAACAAACAAAAAAAACCTGCGGCGTGGCTGGAGCACAGGCGCAGGGGGACTCCCTGCACTGCAGATGTGCCCTGGCTAGCAGGGGGAGGGGGACAGAGTGGGGGGAGAGAGAGAGAAGGGGGGTGGCCAGGGCTTCAGCGGGGCACTGCCACGCGGCCCCGCCACCTGCAGGGAGGGCTTTGTGCCGCTCCGGTCGGCTGGGAGGGAAGGACGCGGGCTGCCCTACCGAGCTTGCTGCAGGGCACTCCTGTCCTCCTCGCCGCCGCTCCCTACAGGGTGGCCGGAGCGGAACACCACCAAAAAAAGAAGCAGCCGTGCCACCCTAGGATTGGGCAGAATGCCGCCTCCTACAAGCTGCCGCCCCAAGCACCAGCTTGCTCGGCTGGTGCCTGGAGCCAGCCCTGGTCTCATCGTTGCTCCCTCCCATAGCAACATCTGCTTTTGTTTCTTTCTGTTTTTTCCTTCCTAGTAAGGGGAACTGACTGTTAGGGTTTGTATGCTCTCCCAGTTTCTGAAAACTCGTTTGCTTTATATTATAAACATCCTTTATTTTATTGAAGGCAATTTTAGGCGGTTGAAATGTTTAGATATGAATCACAGTAGCATGCCATTTTACACATAGCTTCCACATACTGTAATGCACAAAAGTGGCATACTTTGCAGACTCACTGTATAAGAACATAAGAACAGCCATACTGGGTCTGACCAGTGGCCCATCTAGCCCAGTATCCTGTCTTCCAACAGTGGCCAATGCCAGGTGCTCCAGCGGGAATGAACAGAACAGAGCAATTATTGAGTAATGTATATAAGTAAGGATGGGTTATGGGGGTCCTTTCCAGTCCTGATTTTGGGGCCTTAGGCAGCCTGGGAGTAAGCAGGTGTAGTTATACTGAATACAATGGGAATTACACCTGCTTACACCAGGGCTGAATTTGACTCCATGTTGTCTCTGCTGCCTGAAGCACAAGTCTACATAAACAAGAGAATTAGGAGGATCCAGTTCTACGGTGTCCAAATTAACCAGTAAAAAAAGCCAGCAGTGTCTGAAGTTAAGGCTTATGTCTCATCCACGTTGCATTAAGAGACTTGTTAAATGTGCTCATCTCTAGTCAGGTATTGTAAAGCGAGACAACAAATCATAAGCTATTCTTCACTGCTGTTTTCTCAGTTCTTGTAATAGCTTCATCCTTAGGGGGTTTTCCTCCTTCTGAGGTTTCATTAACTCTGTTTTACAGCCAGTGCATTATGAAGAGAAGAACTGGTGTGAGGAGCAGTATTCTGGCGGGTGCTACACAGCTTACTTCCCACCGGGGATAATGACACAGTTTGGAAGGTACAGTGTCTCACTAAGGGACTCAACAACAGAAAGATAAGAATGATCAGATAAATATCCTTTGTAAGGGTCGTAAGTCCTCTGTGAACAAATTTTCTTTATACCTGGAGTATTGCTTAGGGAATACTTCAAACAGCCTTGTAAAATTTTACTTCCCCACTTGCCTGGATTAGGTATTTTTGATGGATGAGTCTCATTATTAGTATTTTCACTTTCATCATTGACTATAGGGAAGAGTAGGTGAGTAGATTGCTTGATTGTTTGGGGTGGGGGTGGTTGGTTTTTTGTGTGTGCCCAAACTGGTAAATTTTCATGACAATTTTGCTTTTCAGATTTGGGATTGGCATTACCATTTCCTTTGTGTGTTTTAATATATTTTATTGGTATTTTTAAAAATAAAGTAAAAAAGCCTGATCCTGTAAATATTTATGAACATGAGTAACTTCAGTGGACTGGTCCTATTAGCAGACAGGCCCTAATGCAGTAACTACTGTGCCACCATGTATTGTCCTCCCCGATTCAGGTTTTTGAATGAAAACAAGAGTGACCCAAAAAGCAGCAGTGGCCGACCTGCCTGTTGCCGTTCATTTATGTTCAGTTAAGTGCTCTGGATCCCTTGTGAAATGTAAATTTCTGCAATTCTAAACTAGCTAAGAGCACTAAAGAAATCCTGATTTATGACCATATAGTGCCTTCAATTTTTAAAGTAGACAGAACTTACTTTAAAGTAGATGATTGCAGATCCCAGCAAAGCTATATGATCCAGGAAAGTGTCATGAGGGCTACAGCATGCCATTCAGAGTGCTAGCGACTCCATCTTTCATCTCTAGAGTCTTGGCTATGATAACAATGAGAACAAGCCTTGTCTCAGTCTAGTTCTCATTTAGACTTCCATGAGCCCCAGAATCACATTCAAAAATAGCATTAGCAGGATTGCAGTAATACTTTCTGAGCCTTTAGAAAACATAAGGAGCACCAGGAAGTGTCTAACGTAAGAAATGTAATGAAAGACTGACTATCCTAATAGCCTGCTGCATTGCTAACTCTTAAGTGTTGATTGATATTTAAAGCACCCTTCTCCTGTTTTTTACCCAAGGAATTTTATCATGCTTTCCTGATCTGGCTGATACGACCTATTTTTGTCCATTTTAAAGGATCATTCGCCAGCCAGTTGGTAGGATCTACTTTGCTGGAACGGAGACAGCTACAGAATGGAGCGGGTACATGGAGGGGGCTGTGCAGGCTGGAGAGAGAGCAGCTAGAGAGGTACAGCCCCACACTTATGGCATGCTGCATGGGGAGAACATTTAAGTGTGTTTTGCAAAATCAAGGCTGAGATTTTCAAAGCCATGTAAGGGATTTAGATGCCCAGTGCGAATTAATTTTAAGGAAAATTTAGTATTGCCAATCTCAAGCATTTAAAAATCATTAGATTGGATTAAAAATGAGATTTGAAAAAAAAATTAAAATTGGGTTCTTTTTATTTGCAATTCCATTTTTGAGCCTTTCGGAGCACCCAGGTCATGCTTTCAAGCTTTCCTCTGCAACCGTGAGGGCTAGACATTTAATTTTTTAAAGCTGAGATTCTTACCTAATCATGTGTCTCTAGGAACTGGAGCTGTAAGCTAAACATCAAATACTGTCAGACTTGCAATAAAAGGACAGGAATTGGCAACAATGGTGTCCAAATTCCATAGGCAGCTTTGAAAAGCTCAGCCCCAAAGTTTATTTTCAAGAATGATAGTTGTGCTGCGGGCCTGGAGAACAAGTTAGGCCCCGTGCTCAGTTGATTCTAAATAATGATGATTCATAGGAACATACACATTTCATTGTCTGTAAAATGCCATTTTCCTAGCTATTTTTGTAAGCATTGTGGTTTATGGGCAGATACACTTCAACAAAAGAAATCTCATATTTGTTTCATAAGAGGTTAAGGGGTCAGCTTTGGGATCTCATATGGGGGAGGTAATCAATAAAGTGAGGGTTACCATATTCAAACATTTAAAAAAGAGGACACTCCACGGGGCCCCGGTCCCACCCCTGGCCCTGCCCCAACTCCGCCCCTTCCCCGCCCCCGCCCCAACCCCACCCCTTCTCCGCCCCCATTCCAACCCCTTCCCCAAAGTCCCTGCCCCAACTCTGCCCCCTCCTCTGAGCAACCCGCATTCCCCCTCCTCCCTCCTGCTCTGATCTTGGTTGGGGGTTGCTAAGTGCTTCCTTGCTCCCCACTCGCCCCGCAGCCCCTGCAGCCTCTATGCCCTTGCCTGCCCTGCTCCTCCTCACCCTGCAGCCTCTGCACCCCCCCGCCCCTGCAACCTCTGTGCCCCCTGCTCCCCACTCGCCCTGCAGCCTCTGCACCCCCCCGCCCCTGCAACCTCTGTGCCCCCTGCTCACCCCTCGCCCCGCAGCCTCTGCACCCCCCCGCCCCTGCAGCCTCTCGTGCCCCCCTGCTCCCCACTCGCCCTGCAGCCTCTACACACACCCCCGCCGCCGCCTGCCCTGCTCCCCCCACTCACCTGGCAGAGGGAGAAATGCAGGTTCCACGTGGACTCAAACACTTCCGCGCTGCTCTGTGGGGGAGAAGGGAGCGGGGGAGGGGGAGGGACTCTGGCTGCTAGAGGCCCTAGTGGCTGTGAGCAGCTTTCAATCAGGCCAGGCGTCCAATCAGCCGCACTGCACTCCGCAGGAGGGGAAGGGGGAAATCCCGGACATTTCTACTTCATTAGAAATCCCCCCCGGACGGCCATTTAAGGCTGAAACCGGGATGGATGGTAACCCTAATAAAGTATCGTCATGTGTCAAGTGATGCAAGCATTAAAGCAGAATCTCTAAAGACCTCTGCTCAGGACAAAGCTGAAGAGCTTAGACGTTGGGCAACAGGAAAGAGGTGTATCCTGGGAGTGATGTATACTTAAGAATCAATCCCCATAACACTGTTAATTGTGCTAACTCATAGATAGACCTGCTAATCATCTTAGATCTGTCTGAAATGGGACCACATCTCAGGAGATATCAGATGTTATTAATTCTGCAAAGGACTGGGATAGAATAACAAGAAATTAAGATATCCACATTATATTTGGAAACATGCGCATTAAAAAAGTAATGTTCACCTTACTGTCACACTCTCCTCCTTGGTTCATGTAACCCTAGAACTTTCTCATGTCCACCAATAGACACCAACTAGTTTTTTAAAAAGAAATTTTGCATTTCTGGCACTGAACCCTAGTCTCTCCCTCCCTCACATGACCTCAATCCTATTCCTGTGTTGGGGCAATATTTTTCAAAATTAGCTTCCGATACATTTTGCATGTACCTGTTTTACATCTACACATCTTGTGTGCACTACTTTGATGCCAATTTTATAGGATATGGCCCACAGATTTGTGGTTAATATGAGGCCCTAGTTCAACAAGATCTTTAAGCCTGTGCTTAATTTTCAGCCTGACTGACTTCAGCAGGACTACTCACATATGAAATTAGGGATGTGCTGAAATACCTTGCTGAGTTAGGGTCTGAATGAGTTAAGGAGGCTCCTTCCACTCCTTCATCCTGAACCATTATTTTTCTTTCATAGAAAAACCACCATCACTCACACTGGAGTGATTACACAGCTAGGAAAGAGGTGCTTCTCTGGGAGTATGTCAGTAAATAACAGCCCCTCCCAGCAAACTGATGTGCAAATATCAGATTTTCTGTTAAATCTGAATACACACAATCTTATTTGCTAAGACCTTATCTTGATTATTGCAGCATCAGCTTAGACCAAAAACTGAAAGCCAAATGTTTTGCCCTTTAAAAGAATGAATGGAACTGATCAGTTCTTTATTTTCAGATACTGTGTTCCATGGGGAAAATCTCAGAAGGTGAAATTTGGAAGTCAGAACCAGAATCAGTTGTAAGTTTTCCTTCAGTTCCTGTGAACTTTCCTTTGATATTAATGATGAGATAAAATATGTGTTGCCTTTACGTTCATAAATGACAGCTACAATTACTATTCTACTGCCTGCCAAAACTGTCCATGGATACCTGGGAACATGACAGGTACCCAGAGAGGGTTGACGGTGTCTAAATACTCTGTAAACATGGCACAGGAAAGAGTATTCAACTTTTAATAAGGCTAAAAATCCGTACAAGTATCTTTTACCATACTTACCTTAAATTGATGAGAACGCTTTGGGTCTCTTATTTTTTCACAACCTATTGTAGTTTCGGAAGCTTTTCAAGCTCAGGTATCTTCATTGCTCACAGCCACCTTTAATTGCGCTGGTTGAATTTTTTTTTTATTTTGATAAAAAATTTTGCTGAAATTTTGATGAGAAAAATAAAGAACAATTTGATAAAATTTTGGCAAAAAATGTTTCCTGCCTTTTAAACAGCTCTTCTTTTTATTGAAGTGAGTACAAGGGAATGCAAATGGCCAGTCTTGATCTCTTTCTTTAAAATATGCTAATTTCAGGCTTTAGGGACCCTCAACAAACATGTCCTGTTTAATTTGTTTTCTCAAGTAGAAGCTATCTACCCGGTTCTGGTTGTTTCCTGATTCATCAACAGGGCATTAATAGCAACAGAGTGCCAGACCTTGCCTGAATATAATATACTTCTGTTTAAAAGAGAAAATATGCATCTGAAGGAGTGGGTTTTTTACCCACGAAAGCTAATGCCCAAATAAATCTGTTAGTCTTTAAGGTGCCACCGGACTCCTTGTTGTTTTTGTTGATATTTATATTCTCCCTTTCATAGTGGAGGTGATCCTGCACTAATACTGAATGTTCTCCCTTCCAGGATGTCCCAGCCCGGCCAATCACTACTACCTTTTGGGAGAGAAACTTGCCATCTATACCAGGACTACTGAGGCTGGTTGGATTTTCCACTTTCTTCACTTCAGTGGCTGCTGTTGGGCTATTTGCCTACAAAAAGGGGCTGCTAGTTCAAAACTGAGAAAGGTGCCAGCACAAAGCTGTGTACTTGTTGTGTCCTTTTTCCAAAGTTTGTTTTGACGTGCACTTATCTGTCTTCAAAAGCAGATCAGGACTGGTAACGGGGGTGAGGGAAAGTAGAGATGCAATTTTAGAGTGAGGATGAGTGAAGGGGTTCAGATAAGGTAAGGACCCCCTGAACATTGACCTATTTTTAGCATCATCATTTGAGGTTCTGAGACAGTGGCGGGCAACCTGCAGCCCGCGGGCCGCACACGGCCCATCAGGGTAATCCACTAGCGTACTGCCAGACAGTTTGTTTACATTTGCACAGTTTCCCGCAGCTCCCAGTGGCCGCGGCCACACAGACGTGCTAGCCACTGCTTCCCGCAGCTGCCATTGGCTGGGAAGGGCAAACCGCAGCCCCTGGGAGCTGCAGGCAGCTGTGCAAATTTAAACAAACTGTCTGGTGGCCCATCAGCGGATTACCTGGACGGACCGCAGGTTGCCCACCACTGTTCTGAGATGTTCCACTATGTGTTACTTCACTTTGAGTTTTTATTGAGGTCTGCAAATGAAAATGCCAAAATACTGTGAGAAAGCTGTTCTTATGATATTTTCAGCCTTTTGTACACTTGTATCTAACCTAACCTGAACTCTGAACATTTAAAGGCACACCCGTCCCTAGTTATAAGTGGAATATTGCCACACTCATGTTCTGGAGATCTAAAAGACTTCAGTTGTAGCTTAAAATAACTTTTGAATAAATGTGAATTGCAGGTGAGGGTCTTTAACAGCACTTACAAAAAAATGTAAGGCTAAATTTTGAAATTGTTGTTTCAAACTATGTAAGTGCTCATGAGTTTGTCAAGAGGAAAATTCCCCACTTTACATTTCCAATCGCATGTTATGGACTATGGACCCAGTGGCACAAAAGAGGCTATAAAGGTGTCTTAAGTGGCCTCTTGAGGATTCCCCCAGTCTAGCGGCTCTACAGCACCCTTATCCTATGTGGGTTCCATGAGGCTGCTATAGGTAGTGCCAGGGATCAAATTAACCCCCCTGTTGACCCCAGGGAGCCATGAAGTAACTTTTCTGCACCCTTGTCTAAGCTTTTTGGGGTAGGGGCTCTCTCTCACCTTGTGTTTGTAGGGTACAGTGGGCCCTAGATCTCAGTTGGAGCCTACAGGCACTACCATAATAAGTAATAACTTTGTCCAGTGTTGAAAACAGCTTATCTAGGCCAGAGAATCTAAGCTAATGTCTACACATTTCCCCAACAATTAGTCCTTGAAATATAAATGGAAATCTCTAAATAACATTTCAATATGTATTCCTTGGAATTTATGTTGTGTTGAGGGGTGCACCTGGAATTGCAAGGGTGATTTCTCTTATGTTCTGCTCTACAAAAATAAAAAAAGCCCCTGCTCAACTTTGCTTCTTGATTCACATCACTCTAAATTGGACTTTTTTATATGCACAGTTAATAGAGTTTTCTCCATCACACCTATAGTCATCCAAGATGTGACCTGCCTCTCAGTCCTCTGTATTTCACCTAGGAGGAAAGTTATTGCAGTTCTGCTCTTTCTAATATAATTTCCAGAAGAAAGGAATCTTACTACTTTACCTTAGCACAATCAGACTTCATTATTTTTTGTAAAAAAGCAAGACAAGGCAAGAGAAGAGCTTGAAAATCCTTCCAAATCACTATGCATCCGATGAAGTGGGCGTAGCCCACGAAAGCTTATGCTCAAATAAATTTGTTAGTCTCTAAGGTGCCACAAGTACTCCTGTTCTTTTTGCGGATACAGACTAACACGGCTGCTACTCTGAAATCTATAAAGCTCTGTGTTAGTGAAAAGTATCCAATCCTTGTATGTACCAAAGGCCCAGGACAATGGAATTCAGTGTGAGTGACAGCAGCATGGTTTCCAGGGCTGTATAATCATCTTGTTGTCCCTCAGTTCTTTTCTGGACTGTAATTGCTTCCAAGGAGAAGTAGTTTCTACTTCCTCAGAGTGAGAGCAGCCAAACTGTGCTTTTTAGTTAGCCATTCTTTGACAAGATCTTGTCTTAAGCTTTCAGGTCTGTGACTCCCTGAGTTTCAGCCTGCTAGCAAAATGGAGTACAATTTTTTTTCTACCACATCTCTAGTCAGATCTAGTTTTCACCTTCTGTGTACCTTTGAAAACTATATTATTAAGAAATGTACAATCCTGTAGTGGGAGTTTTGGAGTCCTATGAGCAAATTCTCTGCTGGTGTAAACGGACACAGCACTACTGACATAAGTGAAACACTGAGCTACCAACACTACAATATTTTCAGTTGTCCTTTTCTATTCAACCTTCAGTCAAAGGCTTTCTGGCATTACACTAATTAATACAAAGCTATTATTCCATGCTACATTGAATGCCATTCTAACTATGCTCCATAAAATCTTCTCTTGGTGACGTTTCACACTGCTTGGCTTGCAGTTTTATGAGGAGAAGGTGTGAATGATTAAGCATAAGATCGTTGCTTGCCCTACATGCTTGCACAAGGGAATGAGGGGGCATCAAATGTCTTGCGCAGGCTACCTGCATCACAACTCTCAGTGCATAAAAGAGAGCGGCCTCTGAGGAGTCACTACTCCTCCTCCCGCTCAGGTGTGAAGAATAGGGATGGGAAAGGTGGAGCCTTGACTAAGCCCCACAGCAAAAAAGGTATGCATCCGAAGAAGTGGGCTGTAGTCCACGAAAGCTTATGCTCTAATACATTTGTTAGTCTCTAAGGTGCCACAAGTACTCCTGTTCTTCTTACAGCAAACCAGTCAGCATAGCTGAGGCAACATGAAGAGAGGGAAGTAATCTCTGTGTGGTAAAGGACTGGGGCAGATTACTTCCCACTCGAGTAAGGGAGGAGCAGGGGACTGAATTGTGACTTTCAACGTCTGCCCCGGGGCAATGCAGCTACACACTGACTGCTCCTTGCGCATGGTAGACTGCTAAGCAACAACCAAGTCCTGTGCTATCAGCTCCAAATCCATAGGTCTGGTGGGAGACTTCATGATCTAGCTAGTCAAGATTTTGTAGGATCTTTAAAACAACCCCCCTGAAATCAAGATTAGGAGGACAGCTCATCAGCAGGGTGTTAACTGTAAAAGGGTCAATTGCTAAACTATGCAAAATGCAATAAGCACTTCCACATCAGGAGTTAGAAATGCAGTACAAGTCCAACTGACATTCCCAAAATTTTAGTAACTATTCAGAGGGTTGAATCACAAAGAGATTAATTGGAGCCCTGGAAAGCTTAAGCATGTACCGGTGCTTCTGTCCTCCCTGTTTTGGGGCCTTTGAAACAATGTACACAAGAATAAAAAAATGTGCCGTCTGCTATACGCAGAGTATCACAGTTCGGGTCAACTGCACCTCTGTTTCCTCTTATTGGTTCAGCAAGTGTACCCACTCTTAGGCTTCCTTCCCCATAGCCATTCCCTTTCTTGGGTGGATAGCTGTGTCTCTCTCCCTCCTGACTGGGGTATTTCCATGTTGAACAGTTCCCTGCCTTCACTGTGATATTCCCAGCAAACAGCAGTCTGCCCAGACAGGCCTGCTTGCTGTCTCTTCAGAGACTAATAATACAGTGATTGCCAACAGCTAAAAGTTACTACACAGCACGTCCTATGCAAGGCTCTTTTAGGCTAGGTCTACACTACGGGGGAGTCGACCTAAGAAACGCAACTTCAGCTACGTGAATAGCGTAGCTAAAGTTGCGTATTTTAGGTTGACATACCTGGCTGTGAGGACGGCGGAGAGTCGACCGCTGCCGCTCCGCCGTCGACTCCGCTTTCGCCTCTTGCCGTGGTGGATTTCCGGAGTCGGCGGCAGAGTGATCAGGGATTGATTTTATGGTGTCTTCAATAGATGCGATAAGTCGATCCCCAATAGATCGATTGCTACCCGCCGATTCGGTGGGTAGTGAAGACGTGCCCTTACTCTTAAGGTAAAAGCACTTCAGAAAAAACACATTAAAACAATACAAATCTCCATGCATACTGTATGATCTTACCAGAGATCCCCTCCTCCAATTGTCTCCAGCATGATTTCTAGCAAGTGAGTCCTTCAAACCCCTCAAAGGAGTCTCTTTTGTGGGCACAAGTTCACAACAGCCTCAGCTCAGAACTAGCACACTCATGTGGTTGGAGGTCTTTGAACTGGAGTTTTCAGAAGCAGGTAATCAGTATACAATTGGTTTCTCTCCCCAATGCCTAGTTTCAAAAGGATGGTTTTGAGGTGGGTCATTTGCATTCCCCTCACCCCCCAGGTATCTCCTAGGAAATCCACTTAACATGTATTGTCCCCAAAATCCTTTGAATTTCCTGATATAGCTAAGAGATTACCTTAATCCTGTTTTCCTGCTAAAGGAGGTCCATACAACCCACAATAGTACACAAACATTTGCATTTTTAATAGAATGAACTCCAGAAGTGTTGAACTTACTTCAGTAGGGTTTAGCTTGATTCAGTTAAGTTTGTCTAGGACATTGCCATAAGTGTCACACCGACACATTGCACCAAATTCTTCTCTCCTTCTCCTTCCAATGGAAAGTCATAGGTGTAATTGAGAGCACAATTTAGTCCAATGCACATAGAATTCTAAGAGAGCTAAATTGGTCAGCCAGCTGGAACTATTTTGAGCCTATTTGAACTTTTTGCTCCAGTTGATGTTGATTTAAACTAACTGCAATTGCACTGCAGTAAAACATGGAGTGAGGCAGGAAAACAATGATCTCAGTCAGCAGCTGGGGCATACATAAGGCAGAGAAGTTGTATAGTCAGCTTCATGTAGATCTTCAAGGCCAGAGTCTGATGCCCTGGACTCACGCTTAGTAGTACTTTATTCTGCTCATGGTCCCATTGAACTACTCATGGAGGAGTTGTCATTGTGGATAAGGGTATCAGAATCTGGCTCTTAGATTTCATTCTATGTCTTTGAATTGTGATAAAATCCAAGCTGCTGCTACAAGTGTGTGTTCTCACATCAGCCTTTGAACTAAATAGGAGACTTCTTCAGATGTCAAGTTCTTGAAGTCAGAGGAACGGGGGACAGTGTAGTAGATGTGATCTTTCTCACTGTGTCACACAGAGAAGCAGTTGGACAGGGTACTTCTGAGACCTATTCTTGTAGATTGATTTGTAATCTATCCCATGACTCCCCTTCTTCGACCAATTCATGTCTTGGGAATTGATGGGGGTGTCGTCTACCAAAATGAAATTATGTTGATTGGCCTTTGGCTTGATAGCTTTTGTTGGCTTCTCCTGCTTTAGATTCTAATCTGCTTTACCTGGGCACACTGGCCTGGTTTTTCATTCTTGACAGTCAGACTCACTGGAAAGCACAGCAGAGAACAAGTTTGGTTTTTCTTCTTGGCTTTTAACAGCTATCTATTCACAAGTCCATCCTGGCACCCAGTGACCTTTCAGTATCTCTTACGCATTTACTTATATCGCCGTCTCTCTCTTTCTCCCCACTCTAAAGTTGGCAGTCCTCTCAGGCTCACAGGCAGCTCACTGGAAGATTTTTTTCCCTAAAAAGGACAGGTCTGTAAGAGGAGCTGAGCAATGTGAGCCATGCAGACACAGCAAGCAGAAGAGAAAATTACATCAATGAGAGCAGTTTGATGTAAATAGCTTCTCTTCAGTGTTATACAATCTGAACGAGGCTAAACCCAGTTGTACTTTGTTAGTAACTGATGGCTTAGATTTTTTTTTTTTCAAAAGGAGTAGTGGGATGCTCAGCATTTGTGAAAATCAGACCTCTTATGTAGGGGCCTAAATACAGACAGACAAGCTTTACTTTAGGCACCCATTTTTAAAAATCTTGGCCTGATACTTATAAGTTTGACAGTGAAAACATACTTAACACACAGTGTACTGCTACATTTGTGGAATAATAATAACAGTGCCTCATTCTTTCCATCAGTAGATCTCAAAGTGCTTTACAAAGGTCAGTCTCAGTAGGGCTAAATGATTTTGCTGCCAAAGGTGTTTGGGGTATGAGTATTGGTGCTATCCTAGAAACATTTGGAAGGACTGGATAGGGGAACTACTAGTGAGGCTCCTAAAGGCAAATAGCTTTTCTTCATGTCCAAAAGTTATCCAGCTTTTTCTCATGTGCTGGCTAGAAATTTCCCAGTCAAACCAGCATGTGTTGTGTCTCATAGAAACAGAGCAGTCAAGTGAGGGAGAACTGATTTGGATAAAATTAGAACTGGTCTGAACCATCACCAACACTTCAACTCAGCTCTGACTTTTCATGAGCATGATTAACTTTTTATAAAGAATTATTTTTCACTGCTCTTAAATTCTTGGTTTCCATGGAGAGTGGAAATTTAAATACTAAAAGAAAGGCAACTCTCCTGATCCTTCTGGCCCAATCAGATGTAGGAAGCACTTGATAGCTCATGATAAAACTGGATTCCATGAGATTTCCGGCCCCATTTTGCAGACTTACGGTGTTTAGAATGAAATGTTTGTATAAACACTTGAAGTTGTTGAGTGGTTTTTTTTCATTCTCAAACCTCTCAGGCTTTTGAAATATACTAATTGCCGCTACAAATTATTGTTGTTACGATTAAGTTGTGCATCCTAAGAACACTGTGTGATTAAAGATAAGTGCAGTCAGTTGTCCTTTTGTTTATTAAATATTTTATGAATAAAATTAAAAGTGACTGTGTATGTATGTACATCATGATGTCATCAATAAATTGATCAGATGTGGTTACAAAATCCATGCCCCTTTGCACACATGGAAGGAACTTAGCACTAATGTACTTCTTTACACTCATTCTAACAGACTGTTAAAGGAAAGAAATTTGAAAATCAGGTTTGAAATGTGATTATCGGTGTAGTATTCTTACCTGATCGATGTCTAATGGGAAATATGCCCCCATGAAAAATCCTTCACTGTACCAATCTAATCAAATGTATTGTATAAACTGTGATGGTCATAATTTGTATTCTCACATATATTTTTGATGATCTTAGGGTGTGTTTTTAAAGGCAGTGTACTTGTTTGTATATTGTATCTATAACTATGTATTAATGTGACTGGTTTCAAAGCATGATATGTAAATCATGACAACCATAGTATTTGGTAGTGATCAAATTAAAAGCCACTTATACATGTTACTCAACAGTACAGTAAAGTGAACAGTGAGAGAAAGCACAAGATGTGCTGGTTCATTCCTTCTCAACACAGACCCAGATTCAAGAAAGCACCCTATTCAGGATAGCACTTAAGCAAGTACTTAAGGTTAAGCAAGTGTTTTCCTGATTTAGGGCCTAAAAGCTGGAAGACAAGCTAGTGACTTTTATTACACGAATCATGGTATTTCCTAAATGGGACAGTGATGTTAATTAAGGCAGAAATTATAGCGGTCCAAAATTCTTACCATTTTATTTTCTCAGATGAAAGTAAATCTTTACATCTGAGGAAGAAAGTACTGTATACCTCCACCGAACATTTATGCTCAAAAGGAAATTGGAAAGAAATCACAGCAGAAATGCCAGTACCTCTAGGCAACAACCAACAGTGCAGTTCAAATGTAGATTACAGTGCCCACAAAATAGACTAGGCCTGTGGTTAAACAGAGTAGCATTCCCTCTAGCATCTCCACCTCGAGACCATCTTGATTCTGCAACCCTCTCTCTAATGAAGCTAAAAGTAAAATAGCCAAAGTAATTTTGTTTTCAGAGTATCCCCACAGTCAAATAGTTTTCACAGCTTATAGTTTGTCTCCTGTGGTCACATGCAGGACAGTGTCAGTCGTGTCTGTCTCTGTGGTTTGAAAATAAAAATGACTTCCCTTTACAGGAATATGGATTCTGTGCGCGTGATTCATTTGTGCCTTAACTAATGGTAGCATTTTCTAAAGTGCCTCTGTGTTGGCTGTCTCACTTGGTTCCCTTCTTATGTTCCCTTTTCAATAGCCTCTTCAGATATTTTTATCTATGAGATGTGAACCTTTTTTTTAAACATAATCTAGAATCAATAAATGTTGTTCATGTCAAACGTGTGTGTGTGTGCATTTCTTTTGTGAATCCAGAAACGTGCTTTTGATCTCTGTGTGATCTTGATTATTGTTTTGTGGTAACACAATATTTC